TCTTTGATCTTTCGTTCCGGGACCTAGAGAGAGAAAAATAGTTGTGTGAGCACGGATCTCTCACTCTACTGTGTTTACCCGAGTCGAAATTTTGATACTATTTTGACACTTTTAAGGGTAATTTACACCTACTTAGCTGATCTATACACCTACACAGACCAGCAATAACCTACTTGGATGACATTATATTTTTACTCCCCCCTTGAATCTGTAATTCTAAAAATTTACTTTAGCTCCTGCTTAAAAGGACCTACTTTAATTGGCAAAAGTAAAAATTTCCAACACTATGGATTTTAAAGTAGGAGTAAATTTTGTACTTGCAGTTCGACCCCTTTCACTGTCTTGGGTCCTACTATATAAGAGAAGGGGAACACTACTGTGCTCGGAGCCGCTACTACCCACACTTCGCCTTGTCTCATTCTACGTTTGTGAACACGGTTTTGGTTTGATGCTCCGTCCAGTACTATATGTCGATGGGCTATACCTCTAAAGAGTACTCTGCGTGGTAGAACGTACTCTCGGTGGTTGCCACTTCCCTCCGAGCGATTCCGAAAAAACCAGCGATGTCCGTCGATTTGAACTCGAATCTTTTCGTTCAATTGTTTACTAAGCAGCGCACATTTCTCTGCGCCACGTTTGTCACTCTCGGATCTATTTTAAAAAATTCAGATTAAGAATTATCACACACATTGGGGGAACCCGTTGTTATTTAATACATGATATCGAACGGCCGTCGAGTCATTATCCGAGGATACCCTTCTCTTATATAGTAGGACCCAAGACAGTAAAAGGGGTCGAACTGCAAGTACAAAATTTACTTTAAACTCCTACTTTAAAATCCATAGTGTTGGAAATTTTTACTTTTGCCAATGACTGGTGATTTTATTACTGCGCCATTTTTGCGGAAATATAATTAAAAAATGTTCCATTTTGAAATTCTGCGGCAAATGTTAACGACAGAAAGTGCCGTTAACATTTCGCGCGGAATATCTGATATCGACACCGAGAAATTCGCCCACCCTTCTAATTGGACGCAACGCTAACAGCGTCCACACTCATGGGTACGTCGTGCATTTTGCGCGCTTATAATAGTATTGCAGAATTAACGGCGGATCGGAAGCGTCGTATCGGTTACTGGCACTTTGCGCTCGACAGGCAAACAAATCCGAGTTGCGACGAACAACGTCGCCGTACGCGTTACCTTCGTTTACACTGGCTTTCCAATCTGTCGAGCTGTTCGCAATTTTCCATCGAAGAGTTCGCGTATTCCGTTTACATTCGCGGGACGCGGGACATAAGCTCGTTTCCACCTAAAAGGACCCGGACCCTCTGGCGCACGATATGAATACGTATAAGGCAATATTAAGCTTGCCATAGGGCTATCCACCGCGATACATATATCCTTTCTGCCTCAACGAAGCGTACAAGTGGATAGGATATACGTATACATCGTACACGCAAGGCTGATCACATAAATCCTTTTCCCCTTGCTGCGTATTCTCTGTTCTTTCGCGTCCTTTTTTTTAACGAGTAAATAAGGAGGTTCAATATTTCATCTTGCGTCTAAGATACATTTTCGAGCTGGGCACTTTTAAAAATATATTTAGTGAAATACGGCGGCGAAAAAATTCCTTTGAACGTCTGAAGAATAAAGCTTGTTGAAATGTTTACTTCGTAAAGTTTTCAATATCAGAATTCTTCGAATTTCGAAGAGACGCAAAAGCGCTTTTTCATCGATGCTGAGAAATTTACGAAGAGGCACCTGCGCAAATTAATCCGGTGGAATGTTTAGTACGCTGTATTCCTGATATCTGTCATTATTTGTTCAATCGATACACCCTTGTCTCGCTTCTACATTTACGAAAAGAAGCGACCTGGGATATAGACTGTACTATATTTCGGTATTTGGCAAATACGCCAGATACTCGAGATATTACTTAGAAGAAGGGCTTCTTTTGTAAAAAAAAAATTATTACAATTTTTAACAACAAGATTAGAATTCTGTTAAATTCCAAATTAACTCAAGAGGATTATGTTGTTGCCATTTTACCTCTTCTAGAACTGGGTTCGTCTCTAACGTTCTTTTTCAACCACTAAACTGTCGTAAAAAAAGCTCCGACCCCTCCGTTCCGAAAGATTCGTTTTCTGAAATGGCGAAAGAGAGTCTGTCGTCAGAAAATAACGCGTTGGAGGTAAAACGTCCTGCGATATGCGCGCGCGTTGCACGAATACTTAAGCACACACGCGCGAAACGATGGGTTCATGCATATAAACGCCGGCGCGTACATTTGGCCGGTGCACAGCCGGGTTTTAGCATGCGGAGCAGACCGGCCTTTAATGCTGAAATATCGCTAGAACGTCGCAATGTTGCCCCGTCATCGTCGTCGTCTTGCCGCGCGATATTTCGGGACCCGAGTGCGCAAAACCCTTAACCGCACGCTCAAATCCACCCCTCTGCTGCCACGCTGCTTTATTGTATGCGTGTACATAAAGTCGCAGCTGTTATTGTTAAGTGACTAGTAGAAGAGTCGCAACGCTTTAACATCATGCGGCAGCTATTATTCTCTCCGAGAAGCGTTTACCGAATAATTAAACGACGAAGCCATTGGCGGCATTAAATGGGGATACATAGGTCACACATGGACGGAAGATTAGTAGTCCCGTCGACGTACCTTACGTGCCTAATCGATGTCCGCTCAAGCGGGAGCAAACATCTCGAGTTTGAGTGTTAGCCGAACGGCAAAACAACGAGTCGCCGAGGCGGAAAGCGGGCGGAAAGGAAGTTTCGAGGGCATCTGGAAGCTCCTAGTTAGTACTCGGAAAAACAAGCTGGCTGTCGTCAGGATAAGGGGATTAAGAGGGTTCTGAGCCGGCAGCTGGCAGCGAACGCTGGGGCCAATTCCTGGGGACGGGGTTGGTCCACAGTCGCAGCATTCAGACAGCACGTCGGCTTCGACGGGCCAAGAAAGAGAATCCGCCGCCGCTGTCGTGATTTATCGTCCGTTATTACCGGTATTTTGCGAATCACGTGCGCCTACGTGGATCGAGAGGGAAAAATGCGAAGCACGGCGAATTTTTTACGTATTATCTTTAATCGCTTTCGGGTGGCGCAGTAGAAATTTTCAAACAGGGAAGTTTTCTTCCAAGCCTATGTTCGCAGAGCGAATTGAACTTATTATTGTCGTTTGATAGAACGGGAGTATCTTTTGAACTGGTTTCTTAATTTAAACAGTCATCATTGGCTTCGGAACATTCGTCCAGAAGCATGGAGAAAGAGAAGCTTTCCAACCCTATAAAGAAACTCGAATCCGTAACTTGATTCGTGTATTCTTTATAACAGAATTCGACAGCGAAACCATAAATTTTCCGCGTCGGTCGAATACATCTTATAACTTCGATCGCCCGCGCCGTCATGCAACAGGGATCGAGGGGTGCGGAGGGACGAGTAGCGGAGCTTTCGGCTAAAGTCGAAGAAAGTCGTAAAGCGCTTAGAGGTAAAAATCTATCTTGCTGCGGGGTAAAGTCCGCGCGATAACTTTGGACGGAAAAATTTCTGCCGATCGCAGGGATGAAACCCCAAAGTTGTCGGACGATAAGTAGCGGCGGCCGAAGTTCGCTCGATTTCCTACAGTTTTCATTAGTGAGCGAATCGTATTTTACCTTCCGCCCCTCTTTGCCGCGTCTCTAGCCTCCTTTTTTCCTCTCATTAACGGCCCGTCTTGGGCTACTCTACAATTTCCTCGACTAGACAATAAGCACAGCTGCGAAAAGAGAAAGCGGTACGACGATGAGAGAAGAAGCATCGCTTCCCCCTTCCATTTGCCCCGGCTTTTCATAAAATCCAATTTAAAAACTACCCCCCCCCCCCCACCCGGTCGTTATTTGTTCTTTTTTTTAAGTAGTAAAGAGCCGACAGAACATCTTTCTTCAAGATTGCAGTTAATGCATAGTAAAAATGTGCAAAACGTAGGGAGCTACAAATACAATGTATTTTTTCCTTTTCTTTGTTTTAAACGCAACTTTTCGAAAACGAAGAGCAGATTATATATTTATTTAATTTTATTAAAATAACTATAATAATTACATAAAATTGAACTCTTTAGCATGTTATGCACCTGTCAATATAATCTAAAGTTATTTACAAAACATAAAAACGGAAATAGTTTCGTGCAGAAGACGAATATGTTACGTGATTTCTTTCATATAACTACAATGTCGTATTTTGTACATAATGGATTACATTATTTTGTCATTTTGGCACATATTTATTTTATTCGTCAACTCTCTGCATTTTTATGTCAACTCTTTTATCAGAGTTGCACGAAAAATATAATAATCTACGCCTACATATGTGGTATACAATATAACCTGTGTTCAATGTGTCGCGTAAACAATCCAATGCATCATTCATATATTTTGTCGGAAATATCGGAAATTTATGTTTTGTTTGCAATTTTATCCTTATTGCTATTATTTATTATTTAACACGCACAATTTTTGACGCGCCACGAAAAATTAACAGATAAAATCAGCGTTAACAATGATAGTTCTTTATTAGTATTATCTATCTTTTATATCTCGCTATGTAGTTAATTAATAAATTAATTATGGCTGCATCTAATTTAACCAAGTCTAAAACTATTTTTATATTTTTTTATAGAATTGTTTGCAAAAATGCAATTCAAAAAGACCAATTAATTAATGAGTTATTTCATAATAATTTATATTGCTTATATTGTCTACATGAAAAAGATTCGCGTAAACGTAATAATGTAAATATTACGTAAACAATCTATGAAAATGTAATCTTACAATTTACTGCACAACCCTGTCTCTTCGAATCGTATGCAGCAACGACGAGACCTCTCGTGTGAAATGTGATAATCCTGCATCGTTAGTTTCCATATCGTCGGTAATAACGTACTCGAGATCGAGAATATGTATGTCGATAAGGTTTTGGGAATTAATAAAACGCATAAAATAATAAATAACAAAACATATCTTCATATAGTTGCATACATATATTCTGCCAATTCAAATATACAGCTCGTTTTTTGTAGAAAAATATTATTTCATACATCCGTTATTTAAAAGAATATTTCTGTAATACACTGTAATTATACATCAGTTATCCAATATAATTAGTAAGAATAATAATTATTATTATTATTATATATGAGAACAAAATTATTAGATCTCTCAATATCAATCCTTCTCTGGCCAAATTATATAACAAATCAGTTAAACTGAAACTGTCTTTTACTAGTTTTTAGGACATGGTTCCACGTCATTCACTGACTTCCGATAGTTTTCCCAGAGTTTCGGATTGTTGAAACAGACTGTTCCACCGCCTCGTGTGTATTGGGTATCCTGGAAGATAATAAAAAATCAAATTGTGCTTATCTATCAAATGGGATCAGTGTTGAAAGCATAAAAGAAATGTTAAAAACTGTAAACTAAGTCTGTTATTTCAAAATCTATAGTCAATTTAATCCATTCATTTCTTCTTTTTCCAAACGCTTCATTCAATCAGTTTTTCTCAATTATTAATTTATATTAATATATTATTTTATCAACTTTAGTTTATAACTTTCTTTTTGCAAGAATTTCATGAGATGCACACTTACCGCCCGATTAATATCGCCAATGCAGACCCACGTTCGGTTACCTTTTTTACCGTCAACGGCAACTGCCCACTTGGAGTGATCGCGGCTGCTCGAAAAGTCGACGTCAACCACGTCCAAGTGAATGGACATGATGTTGTACACTCTACAAAAACGATGGAAATTTAATTAAATGAGATACGCGTTGAAAATTAAACGAGTAAAACGAAGATGTGATATTACTTCACTTGTGCGCAGTCCGTTGGTAATCTACCCCGTCCGTTCAACCACGTCTCAGCATATAAATCGGTTTTTAATGTCGGAGCAACGAACTCATCATACAAGTCTATAAATTGGCATGTTAAAAAATACAATAGTTATTTACAAGATTAAAAAATATTATATTCAAAATTATACTAATATTTGAAAAACGAGACGTACTCGTATTCTCCACTCGTAAATTCACATTATTGCTTTTTATTTCAAAGACTCGTGGCATTAGGTTTATAAAATATATATCTTGCTAAAGGTGTTCAAGATAAGATCTTTATTTAAAACTTACTATTTACTTGTAAATAAATAATATATTAAAGATAGGCAAAATGTCTCGAATCTCACTTTGGAACTATATCGCTCTGAATTATTTTGCGTAATATATCGATACACAAAAATTACCTTTCTGCCACTTGTCGCTCTTGGCAAAAGATACGAATTCGACACCGCCAGATGATTTTAACGGTGTCATGTTGTTGTAGGGCGCTTGTCTGATACGCTTTTGTTTAGCTGCTTCCGTCAGCACCGGAAACGCTGTGGCGAACGCGGGGATGTTTCTCCTATATATTATTATTTCATTGTACATGAACTGTTTACCGACCAGTTCGTATTGATCGCTATCCAGGGAGATGCATAGAAAACTCTGTCCGTAATTTACCCCATTTGACGGATAATCATATTCAGACCGATCCTGATTTCCCGGAATCGAATTGTCTTCCACGTGCCCCTGAGAATATTTTAGTTTAAAGTTTATCCGTTTAACGATATCTTTGAACGATACTAGTAACCGTCGTACACGGTACCTAGTATTATTTTCAATTATCACATTAATGATTGCAACAAAAATGTTAAAAAAAAAGGAGATTGATTTACAATTTTAACCAACTTAAGAAAGTCTCTGAAAAAAAACACTTTAAAAAACGACAATAATTTTTCTAACAGATGATCGTTATCTATAATAGTTCAGTTTTTTTTTTTATTGATAAAATTATCAATCGTCGAGTGTGTACGAAGAAAATATTGATAAAAAGAGAGTATCGATATTCGTTATTTTCGAAACGCTTTTATACGTACTCGTCTTGTTTCGTTACCACTGTTGGGTAGAGGTGGAAATTTCGGAACGCTGTGTATTAACCAGAAACCTTGCTGTTTGTTTACCACCATAGCGCCTTTCGAATGACCGTTTTTTCCACTGGTATCTCTGTTAGGTGGATCGTCGTTGTACAAGAACCAGAAAGTCTTCGATGCCTCTGACTAAACACGCACAATCATGTAAATAAATATTACGTACGCACTTAAAAAATTATGTAATTCAAAATTCGATAGCTACTCTGGAAAATTTACTCTTATAATTATTGTAGGTATTCTGGAAAATTAAAAGTTTTATTCTTATAACTTGCAAGGAGAAAAATTTTCCGAAATCTATGAATTGCAATAAGTTGCAAATTAAATTCAATAAAAAAATTACTTTACAATTAAGATCGATTTAGTAGAAAGAAAGTTATTTCGTTGTTTATTGCGCAACAATCAACTGGAAACTGACAATTGACGCCAGCGTAAAATAATTTATGCCCTTACGTCATTGTATAAAGGTGCCAAAGTATTTCCCGGTATAGAATTTTTCGCGCTGATTTGTTTCGTGGATAACTGCCAACCTTTATCGACAGTATTGCTGGTCATATATAAGTATCCTAATCCGCTTCTAATTATAGGATTGCTGCTCTCCGATACCTTCGGCAACTTGTAAAGTACATACCTGAAATTGCGTTGCAGTAATTATTGAGAAGTTGTCGCGACAGCGGAAGCGCAATATGGTTGCATGATAAATGCGACATCGTAACATTAATAGGACCGGCGATAGACAAGCGTTAATAAAATAATTATTTAACAGTCATTATAAATTTAAAAAATAACGGTTTTCACATTATTGCTAAAGTACATTTTGTTCTATATTACATCATTTTTTAGTAAATTTAAAGTGGGAATCAATACGAATGTAATCATTAAATAAATAATTATAGGTATCATTACAATTAACACGAATTGTATACATATAAAATGCTTCATTTTTTCTATTTTATTTGTAGATTTCAATTTTTTTTACAAATTGTAATAAATGTATGGCCTGAGATAATCAATCTTGTTTTTAAAAAACTACTAAATCTACAAAAGTTATCACAATTTGTCACAATGAAAACATAAGGATACATGATATGTTAAACGAACTCACCAATCGACGATTCGATTGTTCTCATCTTTGCACCGAGGATTTGCTGCATCACACGCGACTAACAAAATGCTTAAGCACAATAGTGAAAACATCATTAAACTGTGTTACTGAAACTCGACGAAAATCCGTAGCGACCGCAAGCACTCCGTATCACGATCTGCTCTGCTCTCTGAATTAACAGACATTTATGATATGACATTTATGATATACATAATGGCGTTAATCAAAATGCCTCGACAAACACATACTTCTACTGTCCTTGTATCTATCGTTATACTTGCCAATTACGTCACAAAGCAAAAGCGCCGACGAGCAGTTCGGTTTGCATTACTTTCGGCTCATTGAGGTGAACGTCGCACATTCCACTCGGAACACTTTCTGAAACACGTGCAAATTTATATGTAAATTTATAGCTTCAATAACATTGGCGTTTGCTGTGAGAGTAATGTCTCTTTTGTAATCGTTATCATTATCCATTCCACGTGTTTGCGTAGCTGTAAAAATATAGTCGCGTAAAAAATATAGAGTGCTTCGGATAATAAGCTGCTGTTTCCTGTCAAATCAATTTGTTCAAGTAATATGTATGAGTGTAAGGCCGATAAACGAGCAAAGGTGCATGTAAAGTAAACAATTTTTTATAAAATTTTTTTATAATAATTTTAATTAAAAATGGCACGCACGTTTCAACTGCAGAATCGTCCTCGGCCAATTCTAAATCATTAGGTAGATTGTAGAATCCGCAAAACCCTTGTCACATTATCTCATTGGACTATCACATTGGATCTCATTGTAATAGCGAGCTTTGTTCGAGATCTGGAAACGTTATACAGGGTGTCTTATTTTTAATGATCCACGCAAAGGTCTCCAAAAATATGAAAGATACGGAAAAACGTTTCAAACAAAAGTTGTTTGGTTCGAAGGGGGACATAAGGTGGTGCCACTGATAAGACCTTGGATAGTCATTTGAAGATTACGTGAAGATTATCTTCAATTTTTTTAATGGAACCCCCTATTGTTTATTATACTGTCTTATTCTACTAATTAATATGAACAACTTTTGTCTGAAACATTTCTTGATTTGCCTAATACTTTTTAAGATATTCAAGAGAAAATTTATAACTCTTTCAATGTTTAGCTTATGATATCTCGATAACTGTTTGTCGGAGGGAAAAGTAGTACGGGACTTTTTTACTTGATTTAGTCTCAGGAATATGCTGTTGCAATAGTGTTTCAATTATTGAAAATTTTTGTGCACGTAAATTTTATGTGTTACAATACACAAAAATTTTCAACCCCCTTATGTCCCCCTTTAAACCAAACAACTCTTGTTTGAAACATTTTTCCGTATCTTTCATATTTTTGGAGATATTTGCTTGGATCATTTAAAATGAGACACCCTGTATAATACTGACACTTTTAATCGTCTTTATCAACCAAGTCATATCTTTACACCTTTGACAGCTTCACTATATCACGTGCATAATACACTTGACTTAATTGATTCCCGCCTTTAAACGAACAATTCATTATGGAATTTTACACTGTGACTATTTCTACATGAAGATATGGCTCGCCTCACCTTTTTCATTTTTTATTTATTGTTAGATGTGCCCTCTTGTCATCCGTTTATATTTGTACATTTTCTATTCATTGATCTCTATCTTCTATTTCTCATATCATTTTAATTTATTAATTTATTAATTTAGACGGTTTTGAATGAGCTTTGTGGATTCTTAAATTTACTTATTGAATTGGCCGAGGATGGCTCTGTATAGGTAAAATGTGCATATTATTCTTAATTTAAATTATAATAAAATAATTTAATAAAAACATTTTTTACTTTACATCCACCCTTGTTCGTTCATTGGCCTTACGCCCGAGGCCGAGGGGGAAACCGCTGACCAAAATCTTATAAATCTCACACCAATGCCCAGTTGGCATTACCTTATCTTATTATCTTGTTTTATCTTATTTATCTTGTTTTATCTTTATAATGTCCCAGCAAAGCCTAATGCCCAAACTAATGCCCAAAAAATGCCTAGTAATGCCCAGTAATGCCGCAAATCTGTACACCACAATGCCCGCAGCGGTTTCCTCCTCGCTTACACTCATACATATCAATTGATTCGTACGAGCTTGAATGAGCCTCACTTTTATTCTTCAAGTAATTTGCCTGCAATAACAATAGCAAAGTTGCAAAAGAAACTGTGAAGAAATACTACATTTAGTTAAACGTGGATGGTCGATCGCTTCCCAAGAAAGTTGCGTTGATTATTAAATCGGCTTATTACATAATGTCCGTATAAAAAAATAATAATGTATCTTTTAGTCAGTTCATTAAATAATTATATATATATTTGATTATTTCCAAATTTCTATTGTATATAATAAATATTTTATAAAAAGTTTGAAAGATTGAAAATTTTGATGTGTAAAATGAAAAAGAAAACAATTTTTTATCAATATTTTTTGAGTAAATGGAAACAGATTCTTTATATTTACAAATACCCCCGTATAAAAATGTACTATATTTTCCAATTTATTTTTCACTATTTTTTTTTTAATTGAAATGTTGATACAGCTGAATTTTTCATAACGAAAATTCTATTCAATTTCAAGTTCTGTTTATAGAACGAATAAAATAAGATCCATTTATTCCTTGAGTCTTTAATATGTAAAAAATTTATGGTTAAATTAATTGTTCGATCATTTAATCAAACAAAATTTTTTAACAAGAATCCTCGACGCTCAGCACGTTCGAAATCGTATTGCCACTTTTCAACTAAAATGTTAAATCAACTTAAACGTTTTGAAATGAAACATACCACGGTAAAGCGGCAATTATTTAACGAGGACAAAGCGATACCGCCGCCTCCACACGTAGATAACGTCAGAGCGATGCTACGGCATCGCCCACGCACGCGATTTGCGCCTATGTTCACGCGATGACCTTTGATAGCGTAACAGCGCCGCGTGAGAATTGTTAAATATCGAAATGACAGACGCGTGAATCTAAGAAAACACATTTACCTACGGTCTTTTTCCTACGATCTGCCTCTTCGACTGATGATATCGACGCTGTTGCAGGGCAGACCATCGCACCTTCGCCATGCAACGCCGACGTGAATGCGACGAGAACTGACGAGACGTGGGGGGCTCCGTCAAGACTCCGAGAGACGCGAAGGCAGAAGAAAGGAAAAGAGTGACCGTAAAGGCCACTGCCTGGTGACGTCACACGGTCCCTTCTACGAACGCGATGCATTCAGACGACGCATTCCTGCAATAGAACACGAGATCTCTGTCGCGGGAATTGAGAATGTAATGCGCGCGATTGAAATAATTTAAGGATTGTGTATATAGAGCGTGTCAAGAGTCAGGCACCGCGTAACGTGTGCTTCGTTGTACAATACATGGAAACTTTTAACTACCAGAGGAAAGTCCCCTATTATGAGATAGGCTTCTAACATATGATAACTGGTTTTCAATATCAAATTCAATCGCAAACTTGTTTTTGCAACGATTACATTTAATCTAACAATGAATTTTTCACCAAACAGATTTCACTCCAAGAACAATAACCCGGTAAACGCCGAGCGTCAATTACATTGCGCTTATGTTACAATTTCTCACTCAACAATGTAAATGTAATGCAGCACGCGTGTTATATTTATGCTCGGTGTTTACTGGGAAAGAGTGAGAACAACCCAAGGAAAAATGAAAAGTCACGACGACGTCAATTTGATGTCGTATTGACCAAGATATGACATAAATCCGGTCAATATAGCATCGAATTGACATCGGCTTGACTTTACATTTTCCTTGGCAAGTGTCCGTAGGCAAATGGCACCGTTTTTTTTTCGCGTTCGATTGGGTGCTGAAGAGATATGAGGAAACCAGGAGGACGATCAAGAAGCTATCGATTTGCATTATGCATTTATTAAACACGTATTCCACAATGTTTTACTTGCATCTATCGTTGTACGAACACGCTTACTTTTAATGTAATCTAAAAGTTGCATTCTTTGAAGAATAACTTGAGCTCTGAATCATCTACGACTCGACGTTTTAGTAAGCAATAATAAGTGGAATGCGTCCCGCGCTTAATTGCTTTGAACTCGCTAGCGCGAACCCGCCAGATCGATCCAGGAGAAGTTCGAGTAATCGATTATGCAGCTACTTCAAGCGACTTCAGGTGGAAAGAAAATATATCTGTTTTATGATAATATTCAACCAAACTTCGATTAACTTATCGAATAACATCTGCATTATTTTGTTACAGGTAGAATCTTTTTTTGTTATTTAATATATAGAAGAAAGGGTTAGATTAGAAATAACAAATTATAGTTGGAAATTTTGTTTTAAACAATTCGGCTGAATTAAATTGATCGATTCGCTCCAAGATGTTTCCTAGGGGGTCCATTCTGTATCTTACACTATAGTGAAAATGCTAAGAGTGAATAGCTTTGTCTCTTTCTGACCGTTCCCTCAGAAAGAGACAAAGCCGCTCACTTTTAACATCGTCACTATAGTGTAAGATACAGAATTGACCCCCTTGTCGCTTGAAGTCTTTTTGAGACTCATCAGAAGGATACAATTATACGTTCAAAACACACCAAATAATAATACTGAGGAGATCCCAGAGAAATGTACAAATTACGGCATCCAAAATGAAGATTGTTGAAATTTTGGTAAAGCTATTTTACATCATATATATTTTCCTGCCGCCCGGTAATATTCCCGTCGAGCGAAAACCCGTCGGTCGTCCGACGGGACGGGGAAAGTTCCCGCATGCCGCGCGCCGAGACGAGACGGAGACATCCGGTGCACGCGCGAGGGCTCCCGTGCGCCTGCAGCCGGTCCTGCGGCCTGCGGGACATCCAGTGCACGGCGGACGGGCACTGGAGCGGCAGCGATATCCGTCGTCGTCGCGCTCGTCGCCCGTCAATTCGTGCGCGGCGGTGTGTGTGGCGGACGCGAGTACGCGGTGGCAACGCGGTGCGGAGGAGCGTCGCGAGTTCTGTCGCGGCGAGGATGAGCGAGAGACGCGCGGCGTGCAACACGAAGCTACGCGAGTGACTCTCCGTCGTGTAGCGTAGTGTCCCCGCTGCGCGAGTCCGCCTTTCCTCCGCGGTCTTCGCCACTCGTCCGTGTGGTCTCTCTTCTCTCTCTCTCTCTCTTTCTCATCCCCGGGAGAGGAGATGCCGCGATAAGGACGACGGCCACCGGTCGGTTCGCCGGAGCGAGTCCGCGAGCGCGTCGCTGGCCCCGGCTGCGCGATGACTTATGTCCCGGTGTCCCAGAGCGGCCCTTCCTCGGACCGAGAGACGCTCGGCTTGGAATTGTCGGTCAGTCCACTCGCGGAGATTGAGAGGCGATAAGAATCACGCGCGCGCGCGCGCGCCCGCGGTGCACGCGAATTAATTTCGCAAATTAATCTCTCTCCAGCAGCGACCTATTTTGTAGGAAGGTTCTTTTACTCGCGAGCGTTTCGTCGCGATGTAAAGTGCAACTTTTGTAACGAGGGTGAAAAACCTTGGGCGAAAAGTTATTCTACGGACGCTGTGAATGTTTATATTATTGTATTTGCATATTTTATCTAGCGTAGATATACTCAACGTCTTATTTGCTGTATCGAAGAGTCTGCGAAGTCTGTAAAAGAATATTTCATATCTTTTATTATTTCCTATTATGATATTCAATGTATCTCGCAGCGTGACCCTTGCGTTGGTATCTGTCTTGAATTTTATGAAGGAAGCTTTTTTTTCTTATCTTGTATCAATTTTCTTTATATACAATTTATACTTACCCATGATAATGTTGCGTTTAACAGGTAGCAGCTTGACGAATGGAATTCTGGGATCTGTCGCATGAAGTATCCGCAAAATCATAAATGTGCCTTGGACGTCCTAGCCATTGAACGAGACAGCATCAAAATGAACAGGGCGGAGAGCGAGGACGCCGGTAAAGGCTGGCACGAGTGCGCCAGCTGGCTAACCAGATGCGGCGCACTGCGAGCGGATCACAAGGCCAACTGGCCGCAGGCAACCGCGTTCGATCTGGCCTACACGTTGCGAGACGGTGTGTTGCTGTGCAATCTCCTGAACATTGTGGATCCTGGTTGCATAGACATGAAGGACGTGAATCAGAAGCCGCAGATGGCGCAGTTCCTGTGCCTGCGTAATATAAAAGTGTTCTTATCAGTATGCTCGAGCGTCTTCGGCCTCTCCGACTCGGAGCTCTTCGAGCCGTTCATGCTCTTCGACCTCTCCAACTTCCATCGCGTCCTTTGCACACTGTCGGCTTTGTCCAATTGTCCAAGACTGAGGCGAAAGGGTATACCGTGAGTAACCTGTCGATTTCTGTACTTCCTCGTCGCGATTAATAAGACGAATAAGAAATGTGTTTGATTTGTTGCGCAGTGGATTCTCCGTTGGTCGTGGAAGATCGCAGGAGGACATTTATAAGGATTTACAAAGTGCTGGAGCAGGGTAAGTGTCCATTGCCAAGATCATAGCTACAGTTCGGTAACTTACGCACACAATTTGGAAAAAGGCTAACCTTAATTTTAAAAAATCAAGATATGATGCTCTTTGATCTCGACATATTTATATAAATGTACAATTTATCGAATATTGAGGTGAAAAAGCATTGAATCTTGACTCTAAAGGATTAGGATTTGTCCTACTTAAAGTCAGACTGCCATTTTCTATCACGTTATACAAACACGTGTGTATCTTTTTAAATAACGATCAATGAAAGAAATAACTATTGTTCGGCCTTGAAGAACAACAGCAGATAATTTGACTCCTAATTTTTATATTAATTGGTTTAGCGCCACACATGGATTGGTGGCGTTTACCATAAAAACTAGGGCTTCGGATGTAGATGAGTCTCGAGTTTATCAGGAATTGCTCTGCTTCTCGAGCAATTCTCAACGTAACTGGCCTTCCGTGGAGAAGGTATACGTCATTTTACAGCTTAGCAATCTTAGAACATTTTGTTGAAAGAATACCAGCCATCATTGTATCCTTCTCTTGCAAACGCGATCCAAGCCTCTTCAATCTATGAATAGTAAACGATCGAGAGCGTGAAACGAAACGTTCTTGTATACACAAACAAGATGTTGTGCTGCGATTTACAACCTATTGCTTGAACAGTGTTATTCCACTCAAACTTGTCTCAGCTTCGTTTTCGTTTTAATTTTCAAGGCCAGTGTCCACGACGCTAGAACTTGGTCCAAATTCTAGTTCCGAGAAATGTGTAGCCAATCAACTTGCAGCTATTCCATAAAAGCTGCAAGTTGATCGGCTACACATTTCTCGAAGCTAGAACTAGGACCAAGTTCTAGCGTCGTGGGCACAGATCTTCACGGCGTCAAATCTTGGTCTCAACTTATACGACAAATTTATTATTCTAGAACACGTTAAGTATACGTTTATTCTAGGAAAGACTTTGTTTTAAAGAATATTGAAACTTTATTATGTGCATGGTACGGTTCTACATAAATAGATATATCCGTGTGGAAGAGGCTACGGGATTTTTGTGCTTCGTGAAGAGTACAGACTTTAATGCAATATTTTTCCCAAAAATGTGTGAAACTGACTCACGTACGCACAAATTATTGAAATTATGTATCATTCAGAGTTTCCAGTATCATTAAATTACATATATACTGTCTACATGATACAATGGTGGCACTGTTTCACTCTTCGTGCTGAAGATACATATTGATCGCAATTATCATCAATGGCAGGCCTTATTGTGCTATATTATAATTTAATTTTTGCCGAGAACTTAGCAATTCCCGTCAGTATGCATGTCATAGTGCATGGCCGTGTTTTTTTCGTGTTTTTATGCTAAAGCCGCGAAGACGAGGGTCGCCGCAGGAGGTTTAGGAGACGGGAGGGTGACGAGACTGGCGGCGGGAGGGATAACGAGGATCCGGTCGGCGAGGAGGACGGATACGGAGCTTTTTGCAGTCACGCGCAAAGCGAGGAGATCTACCAGGACCTCTGTAGTCTGCATTTACCGCCTCCTCCGTCAGTTGCGCAGGTCATCATTCTTTTGTCCTTATTTCTATTTCGTTCACACCTTTTATTACAATTGTACAAAATGTTCCTAAACCTCCTCGTTTCTTCAAAAAAAAAAAAAAGTTCAGGCAGAAGCAGCTATAGTCAGAGAGACCGTTTATGAAAATACAGAAAGATTGCATGAATGTGCTAAATGTTTAAATCTCATTGTCGAGAATATAGAAGAGTCGAGTGAATTATTTATTTATTATTAGCACATTTACGTACGATTAATTTTGTTATCCACCATGCGCTACGCTTTTACACCTTGCATACTACTTCTGTAATTCGCACGTAAACGCACCTCTTTATCGGGATAATCTTCGTGCGACAGAGTGGTGCCATTTCCGGAGGCGAGAAGAGAGATTACGTGATCCAGGAGCTGGTGGAGACCGAGCGAAATTACACAGAAGTCCTCAGTAGCCTGCTCAGACACTTCGCCCGACCGCTGTCGTCGTTACTCCGGTCCGATGACTCCGCCCACATCTTCTTCGGTATCAAGGAGCTCTCGGAAATCCACGTGGGCTTTCACAGTCAACTACGTAAGGCGCGAAACGGCGCCGCGCTCGCCCAGGTCTTCCTGGACTGGCGGGAGAAGTTCCTCATTTACGGCGATTACTGCGCAAACCTCACCGTAGCACAAAATACTCTGCAGGAAGCATGCGCGCGTAACGAAGTAGTCAATCAACAAGTTATTGTAAGTTTCACAGTGTAGGTCGTGAAACTCAATTGCCAAAGAAAAAGACTAAAAACGTTTTACATTCTTTTTTTACAAGGAAAAAGAAATCGATATCTCGCCGAGTTTACTTAAAATTGATATAATCTTTGCAAATTTATGTCCGTGTATGGAATCACTAATTCGTTAAAGAGAGTGATAGCTGTTTTAACATGGATATTTATTGCAGAGATGCCAACAAGAAGCTAACAATGGTAAATTTAAGCTGCGCGACATACTTTCTGTGCCGATGCAAAGGGTGCTCAAGTATCACTTGCTATTGGACAAGCTGGTGGAGGAGACTCCTCGCGAGTGGGTGGAGGACTGTCGTGCGTTGGCGAAAGCGAGGGAAGTGATGGTCGATGTTGCCCAGTATATAAACGAAGTAAAACGCGACTCCGACACGCTGGACATTATAAAGGATATCCAGGCATCGATAATCGACTGGGATGTGCCTGAGGATGCACAGCTGAAGGATTTCGGCCGATTACTTCGTGACGGCGAGCTCAAGGTTTGCCCAATATCTTCTCAGACGAAAACAGTTTCCAACAGAAACAAACGCAACGGGCTCTAAGTTAGCTTGGTACGATCGAATTCTGACTAATTCAACTCTTTTGCAGGTAAAAGCTCATGGCGACCAGAGGATAAAGGCCCGTTATGCATTCGTGTTCGAGCAAGTGGTACTGATTTGCAAAGCTGGTAGAGGAGATCAATATTGTTACCGGGAAACTCTACGATTAGACGACTACAGACTGGAGGACCACATAGGACGGCGAACTCTGGGCAGAGATTCGCGTTGGTCCTACCAGTGGTTACTTGTACATAAGCAGGCGTATACAGCGTACACTTTATACGCGAGAACGGAGGAACAGAAGCAGATGTGGATAAAGGCGTTACAGGATGCGATGGATAACGTTAATCCCGCAGCTTGTCGGAACACCAATCACAAATTCAAATTGACAACGTTCGACACTCCTAAGAGCTGTCAACGATGTGGAAAATTTCTTAAGGGCCGCATATTCCAGGTAAATTGTTAGCTTGCGAAATGTTTGCACCATCGGTCGCTTATAACTTTGGTCTTTCTCAGAGCATTGGGAAATCCAAATCACAAACTTTCGAGTATTCTAATCAAGTATCGTATTTTGTAGGGTTACAAATGCGAGATATGTCGCCTTGCCGTGCACAAACAGTGCATCGCGCACTCGGGTCGCTGTATGCCTACACCACCGTCGCCGACACCGCCGCCGCCGCTACCCTGCGAACGCGCGCTCACCGTGAAGCTGTGGTTCGTCGGAGAGATGGGCAGAGATGCAGCTTCCAACAAACTGGAATCACGCGAAGATGGCACCTACATGCTGCGCGTCCGTCCGGCTGGACAGCCGCGTCTCAAGCATGAAACAAATTACGCTCTTAGTATCAAGTAAGCTTGAACCCACGATTGTTTTAGGAAAATTCTTTTTATTTTTCCATTTTCAGATTATTTCGAAGAAAAAATATTTGAATCATTTATATCCCATTATTTCAATAGTTTCACCTTTTTAAATTGCATATCTGTATTTGAAATTAAATGTTTTTCTATATGTATGTACATTTTATGTATCGATTTGAATTTCCTTTCATTGGGTACTGATAAGACTAACATCTTTCAGGGTGGAAGGAGCGGTGAAACATATCCGAGTGTTCAAACGCGATGTGGACGGCGCAGATCTATACTATCTCAGCGAGTCCCGCTTTTTCAAGAGCGTCGTTGAGTTAGTCGAGTACTATGAACGGGCATCGCTTTCGGAGAATTTCGAGAATCTGGACCAGCGTCTATTATGGCCGTACCGGCGTGTCCTGGCCAAGGCGCTATTCGACTTTCGTGGCTGCGAACGCAATCAACTGAGCCTACGACGTGGCTGTCGAGTCGTGGTACTAAGCAAGGAGGGTGATGCCAAAGGATGGTGGAAGGGTAAAATAGGCGATCAAGTAGGATTCTTTCCAAAAGAATATGTGGAGGAGGAAGAGGACTATTAAAGACGAACCGTTATTATATATCGTTGCATATAATATATCGGATATTCTTTCCAAGTTTTCAGGTAGATGTCTTTTGATAATTGATTATTATACATTGCGACAAAATGATAAGATTCTTTTACGAAACTGCGTGCTTGTAAATATAAATTTTAAAGTTTTAAATGAATTTGGTGAAGATCTAAGATATTTCTATAGAAGATACGCATAATAATATTATTCGGGATTACTACACGCGAATACAATGTTTATAAATTTTACACTTATTGTTAGGAGGAAACATTTTAATCTTCTGTGTGATAACGTAAGATCTATTAACCTTACGGCATGAAGAAGGTTATAACTGAGGGTAAAATGTAAAACAAATAAGATTTTGCAATACACAAAATCGGGTATGATTCAAATAAATCATACTTTTAAAGATCTAATTTTTTTATGGAGTCGTAGCAAAGATAGAACCGACATCTTATACGCAACGACCTAATGTCTTTGTTGACCTCTCGATGGCCGATAAACTCCGTGTTAATCATCTTACGGTGCAATTACGATAATTCTATTGACGCATACCTCAGTAGGGGAGAATAATAAGACGAGTTTGTTCAGGAGGCATTTTTGCGTTGTATAAAAAATATAGGTAATTGTATATGCACGGTTTACGCGTTGCACGCGTAACTTTGATGCTACTGTTCTTTTGCGTTTGACAAGATACAAACGCGTCACATCGACGTATGCATGGCGCTACACTTAGACAACTTAGACGAATATTCTTAGCCACGTGTATAGAGATAAAGATAATTGCGTATATTTTTTACTGCGACGCGGCATTCCTGATTATCGTTAGGCGATAATATCATAAAGACTAAAGTTGTTTGCCTGAAAATGCGAATTTAGAAAAATTGTGTAGACACAAAATGTCCCTGAAAAAAATGGAAACTTGACTGTTTTCTTTGGGAGTTGAATTTTTCTTAAAGGAAATCAAAAGAACGGAAAGATCATACCAAAGAATTGAAACTAACGTTTTTATATACATATATGTAGTTCTCCACTTCAATTTTAACAAAAAGTGAATTTTTCGCCTAAAGTGTTACGGATTCCCTTTTTTCTATGGACATGCTATAGCTGCGTTCGGCATTGAAAATTTCAGGTGTCGGAGTGTTCTCTTGCATTAGAGTGAGCGAGAGAGGAGAATGAAATAAAATGAGAGGAAGGGCACTCCGACATCTTAGATTTGCAATACCGAACACAGCTTTTATATATATATGTGTGTGCTTTTTCTCTCTCTCTCTCTCTCTCTCTCTCTCTCTCTCTCTCTCTCTCTCTCTACCTCTACCTTTATTCCTGTCTCTTTCTATTTCTCTCTCTTTACATCTCTTAACCCCACCTCCGGTTGCGCGCCTTTATACTGGCGTTCCTTCGACCTCCCGTCTGCGGTTGCGCGCCTTCAGCGGCGTTCCTCCGGTCCTCTGCCTCCGGTTGCGCGCCTCCACGGCGTTCCTCCGATCTCCGCCTCCGGTTGCGCGCCTCCATCGGCGTTCTTCCGGTCCTCTGCCTCCGGTTGCGCGCCTCCATCGGCGTTCCTCCGACTTTCCGCCTCCGGTTGCGCGCCTCCATCGGCGTTCCTCCGATTTTCCGCCTCCGGTTGCGCGCCTCCATCGGCGTTCCTCCGGTTCTCCTCCATCGGTTGCGCGCCTCCATCGGCGTTCATCCGATTTTCCGCCTCTGGATGCGCGCCTTCATAACGGCGTTCCTCCGGCGGGAAATCACCACCTTACCTCGAACTGGCATTGAGCCGCCAGTCCTCACCGACCTCCTGCACGTCGTCGACACCAGTCACCTGGCCCGCAAAAGAAAGGGGGACCTTCTCTGTCTTAACCAACCTCAGTTCCCAGTCCTTTTAGGGGCAATTTCACAGAGTCCCCTCGAACTGACAGAAACTCGCTCTAAGATTCCCACATAGAAACAAAACTTCTAATGGACGTCCATTATACGTTTGTCATGGAGATTGACATCTTCCAGTAGACGTCTATTAGATGACCAATGAAGGACCATGAGAAATCCATAGTTCCGTATTGTGGACATCCATTGGACCTCCATTGGACATCTTTATAGATGTCCATTAGACGTTCCGTGGATCATTGACATACGGTGCGCGGAGTCTCAATGGACGCCCCAGCTAACAAGGTGGCGTCAAAATGACGTACATTTAATAAAGAAAAAAAATGAATGAACAAATTCCGGACTTTAAAGATTATAGAAATTAACATCATTTTCGCGGCTGGTTGTGAAGAACGGTAAGGTCGCGGTCACCCATCCAAGTTTTAACCACACCCAACGTTGCTTAACCTCGATGATCGGATGGGGTAGCGGTGATCCTTCGGCTCTGACAATTCTTCCTTGCAATTTGTGCAACATAATTATACACATACTTGTGTGTGTGTGTGTGTGTTTGTGTGTGTACATAACATGTTTTTATTAAATGTTAAAAATTATTTTTGAACGTAACCCACACAGCATACCTACTTTATTTGAGATATACTGAGAAATTCTAAATTGTCCCAGACTTGAATATATTTATTGTTTCCCCTTAGGGTTTACAAGGC